TTCTATCACAACCACACATGTTTTAAACGTAATTTAAAATGTTATGTATGTATTATTATAATAATAGAATAAATCCAGTTTTCAAGGCCGTACAACATGTTGACTTCCTGTCTGAAGGTATTTTTCACGCGTCGTATGTTCACCTGAGACTGAAACAGATGAATCACGAAAACATGAAACACAAAACACACAAAATTCTGACTTGACCTGTTAAAATCATCATCGTGACCATGACAACAAATGAAAAGACTGACTTTGTTATTAGCTTTGAATTGTTGAGCGAGGCTAGGCTTGCAGTTTCTTTGTGCTATGCTAGCTGACACACGGCTAACAGTGAACTTCCTATAATGTCTGTCGTCTCCTTTAAACTGTCTCAAACTAAGTCTCTACACTAGAATCAAGTTTCTTTGAGTAGAAAATAACGACGATAACGATTTTAAAAAGAAACAATTTATCAGCTGTGCTACGATTCCTCCTCTGTGATGTTGCACAGCTGGAGAAACACTCCGTCCTCAAATGTGTGATCGGAGGCGGAGTCCGCCGAGTGCTTTCAGTTTCACGTTTCCCTCTGCATGGATAACATTGAGCTAACCCGTCACTTCCAGTGTGGACACCAAACCTGTCGTCTGAGTCTGTTGTGGTTCCGAGGCCGTCGACCCCCGACTCAGCCCGTCGTCCTTCTGCTGGCTGGATCGTTTTTCCATGTTGGAGGGGAGGCGGAGTTATCTAGAGCGCTGACACCCGGACAATGTTGGCCTGGGAGGAGTTGATCGAGGCAGTTGGTCCGTCGCCTCCAGGCATGGTGCCAGGAGGTGCTGGCACGCCGATGACGGCGGCGGTGATGTGCGGCCGGCCGCAGTTCAAAGGAACCGTCTCCTCGAAATCTGCGTTCAGACTGGAACGACTACAAGAGAGGAAACAAAAATATTGATCTTTATATCGTCAAACATGTTCAGAGTCACTGTGACGAGGATTCTTTGAAAAGTTTCATCGGTGGAAGAACTTTTAAGAACACGTGGACGTTAAGTCAGCAAACATGAAACTTCAGAACTGATCTTTTCAGTCTCTTAACAAAACCATTGAACTGATTCAGTGTAAATCAGTGATTTCAATCATTTTCTGTGAAACATGAAGCAGCAACACGGTCGATCATAACGAGGATAATGTATTAAGTCTTCAGAATGAAGGAGAGTTGTGGATTCAGTTTGAGAGGAACGGCCAAAGGAAATTCTGTGTGAACACACTGTGTTGAGTCACGTGACCAAGGGTGTAACTTTATCAGTGAGTCAGAGAGATTCAAGTTTAAAAAGCTGATTGATGAAGAAAATAACCTGCAGATCAATTTTCCAAATAATCCTTAGTCGTCCTTATTTAACTAACTAGCATCAGCTCAATAAAATGAAATGTACCATCATCAGAAGTGTGTAACAGATGACTGACTGCAGTACCTGTTCTCTCCAGATGGATCACTGTGGCCCAGTGTGTGTATATATATATATACACTGCAGGGGGCAGTAGAGCAGTGTGACACCTTTAAAGTAAAGCAGGCATTAATCCTGAGACTCTGTTTGTTTTCTTTTAGAATTGTGTTGTCCAGTCTCAGATCAGTGAGAGTTCCAATAAAGTTTAAAAGTTTGAAGTTTGACGGAGATGGTCTGTCCAGATGTTTATGTTCCCACAGCTGGACATTCTCTGGATTCCTGCTCCGTCACATGATCTGTGCTGTTTATAGACGAGCGAGCGACTCGTCCTGTTTCACTCACTTTTATTTAAGTTCAGCAAAAGTTTCAGCTAAACTTACTCAAGTTCCTCCAAGACCTCCTCAAGACCATCAAACATCTCTCTAAGACTTCTACATCCCTTTGCTTTCACACCCAGACCTTTGGACCATCTCAAACCTTATCATCCAGTTCCAGAAGATTCCCATGGCCATCGAAGAGTTTCTTCAGAATCTCTGCAGAATCCTCAATGAGCCCATGATACCTCTTCTAAGAATCCTGGGACAAAGAGTTTCCTCAGGGTCAACTAAAACCTTCTCAATGAATCCTGGAACCTTTTAAAATCTCTACAACCTTCAGAAGGAACTTCCTCAGATATATTCAGAACCTTCTCAGTGACTCCTCCAACCTCTTTAAACACCTTCATTCTAGAACCTCAGGAACCTCTTCAGGGACACGCTCCTCAACATGTGTCCTCCTCAGATCACCTGATTATTTACCTGACAACACTCGGCCTCTCTCTGATCTGGATGGTGCTCAGCTCCTGGACGCTGCTCTGCAGACCCACAGACATGTTGGAGTTTGGGACGGTGAAGGTCTTCCTCTTCCTGCGGGCGCAGCAGGACGTGAGGCCGCGAGGTGAAGACGAGATGGAGGAGGAACGAGAAACCGGCTTCACCAGCGTCACCTCCCTGCAGCTCTCCTCCATCGTCTTCTCGTCCACAACCTTGTGGTTCTGAGGGACGTCATAGGACGGAGAGTCTCATGTGAGTCAATCAATAAATGTCTTGATCTTATCAAGTGTAACATTTGAGACTCTGGGTTAGGGTTGTGATCCGACTGTCACTGTCACACACCAGTCTGTGTTGTGTGTCTGTGTTGTGTGTCTGTGTTGTGTGTCACTCACTGTGGTGTGTTCCAGACACTGCTGCAGGTGATGTTGGTGAACTTCGTAGTTTGGGTTGATCTTGCACACCAGCGCTTGTCCCGCCTCCTTGGACGCCTTCACAAACAGAAGTCACATGACCACAGAGTGAATGACAGGACTACCACTCGACTTTAAGAACGTTAACTGCTGTCCCGTTTTTTTACCCATAATCCCCTCTTTAAAATGACTCAGGCCTCATTTGATCCAGAGCCGGACCAGGATGATGAATGTCACCGGTCACAGTGATGCATGACCTTGAAGATCAGAGTCCTCACCTCGATCCTCACGACCTCTGAGGGTCACGAACCTTATTCTCTCACAGACTCCAGAAAAGGACGATGATGAAAATAAAGAAACGAGTGAATCTTACTCCTGAAGGTCACAAACTTTATTCTTCCTCATTGTTCTAACTCCTGAGGATCCTCATGAGGACACAAGAGTAAATCCTGAACCTCAGTCCCTTTAGGTTACTTTCATGAAAATCCCATAGGTCACTGCTGAAGACACTAAAAGAAGGTGTGGACGGCCCGAGGCTACAGAAGACACACCCCTGACTCCAGCACAATTAAATATAAGAACCTTAAAGGAACCGACAGAAGGTCACAAGGCTCACGTTGGGGATTCAGGTCTAAAGAAGGTCATCCTCTTCTATCGAGGATCTTTAGGACCTTTAGGTCAATCATGGACCTCCTGCACACCTTAAGACTGAGGTAGTGAGGACACACCTCCTTCTGGTGTCACCTGTTCTGAGCGTCTCTATGTTTTCTCTTCTCACTACAAACAAGATGTTTCTTATTTCTGTAAAGTTCACGTTTGTCACCTCGGGTCGCATTACGCCACCCCCCCCCTGCATGGCGCCGGGCGCCAAGACGCAACGTGTCATGAAACGTCGGTCGGTAGTCGAGCCACAGGGCCAATCAAAACACAGAAGAAGAGGAGGCGGAGCTTGAGATGGAGAACGGGGCTGAAAGGTTCTGTTGGTGCGTTGGAGAACCTCAGACAGGATGGAGGGAAAATACATCATCTGTTGTTTTACCACGAAGCTTTGTCTCCAGCTACTTACAGACGCCCCCCACCCCCCCACCCAATGAGGAGGAGATAACGAGGGAAGTTGTATTTTTGGGTGAACTATCCCTTTAAAGTCTGTGTGTGTGTGTGTGTGTGTGTGTGTGTGTGTGTGTGTGAGTGTGTGTGAGTGAGTGAGTGAGTGTGTGTGAGTCTGTGTGTGTGTGTGTGAGACGTCATGGTGCGTTCAGGGACCTTCTGAGCCCGTCTCTTCTCCGCTCTCTGACTCTGGTGGTAGATTCTGCTGAAGTTGGAGACAATGACGGGGACGGGCAGCGCAATGACCAGAACTCCACTCAGAGAGCAGACGGAACCGACGATCTTCCCCATGATCGTCTTCGGAACCATGTCGCCGTACCTGAGAGGAAGAGGAGGAGGAGGAGGAGGAGGAGTTAGAAACTAATCCTATATACTTAAATAATGTATTTGATTGTTTTGAAAATAACGCATTAGCTGTAATAAATAATATAAGAAATAATGTCACGTATGATTTGTAAAAGTTTAGTTTTTATATTAAAGTGAAGAATGTTCAACATGAATTTAATTTTCAGTCTTTGTCCACACGAGGGAGCCATAGCTCCACCTCCTGTTTATAAACATTCATTCATGTTCCCCCGAGATCAAAGTGTCTCTGAAGGCTCCGCCTCCTCCTGACACACACACACACACACACACACACACACACACACACACACACACACACACACACAGTGTGTGAGGCCTCAACCATGATGACACACACAACAGAAGCACCAACGAAGAAGAGACGGTGGATCATGTGACTGTGCAGCAGGTTTATGTTCAAAAAAAGTTTCTAAAATTCTGATTAGAGTGAGACATCTCCACAGATCCTCTCAGGGCACAGATATAAACACACTTTCAAATCTCAATATTTTCTTCACACATCTCGGCGTCACCTTGGCGATGGTCTCTGAGCGGTACCATCTGGTCGACGTGGTGACACAAGAGAGCGAGGCGTTTACAGTTCACGCTCTGCTGCTCTACACACACACACGCTAAAGGCCACAACACGCTACATGTGATGTGTTTCCACACAGACAGGTGATGATGATACAACAACAGAAAACAACATGTAACAACGTGTCCGAACCATAAACAGACCAGGTCGTCATGGAAACACGTCGTACTGTAATTCACACTCATGTCATCACACGTCTTCATCAAAACAACATGTTTACATCACGTGTTAATGGAGACAAGTCACGAGACTGGGTCAGAAACAAGTTTCTTACAGAGCGTCAACAACAACAACTTAACAACAAGTTGTCACCTAACGAGTCAGCAGTGTGTTTGTGTTACTGTGTGTGTGTCACTCTATCCTCTGGTACAAGGTGAGTGTCTCAGCTCCACACCTGCTGCTGTAATTACACTCAGGGACCAACAGATTATATAACACACACACACACACACACACACACACACACACGTCTTTTTGTCATGTGGAACAACACACCATGTTGTGGGGGTGTCGGCTGATCATGTGTCTGTTCATCATGATGTAAATACTACATTACCCATAAGCCTCAGTGACATCACAGGTGCATTAGTTTCCTGGTCACATGACAGATGTTCAGTAAACGCGTGCGAAGATGTTTGTCCTCACGTTGCAGCAGCGTGTTCGTCCAGGTGGAAGAGGGGAGGGGCCAAAGGTCACATGTTGTGCAGGTGGGGACAGTCCCCTGTGCAGCCACCGGATCCCCTCGTGGTCAACTGACTGGAGATCAGGTCACAGCAAGCAGACAGAAACTTGATCACAGAGCGAGGAGTTGGACACGCCCCTGGGGGCCGGATTCCTCGAGAGGGTGGGACGACACGCGGCGAAGGGTCATATGGAAGCGACGAGTCACACGTGTGACGAGTTTAACCAGATAAAAACTCTTACGATGACATAATGAAACACTGCGAGTTTAAAAAATTAAAGGTCAGGAGCAGAAACGATTGAAACTGTTCAAAAGATCATTTTATGATCTAAATAATTAACGACCAATCACACGTCTGAATCTGTTTTCTGACCGTTTTACTCTTAGTCAAGCTCCACCCCCCGACTCCTCCAGATATGGTTACTTCTGGTTTTATTAAACCAAGATGGCGCTGGAGGAAACAGACTGAGGCTTCACATCAGCTTCACCAACCAACAGTGAAGTCAAGGTGACGGAGACAAACTGGTCACATGAACCTATCACAGGTCGGATTCCAGAGGACGAACATGTGTCGTACGTGAAGAACAAACTCAACAGCTTCAGTTCTAACTGAAACATTAGAAGTGTTAAAAACTTTATCAGAAACAATCTCTCTCTCTCTCTCTCTCTCTCAGGTCAAATGGCTAAATAATAAATGTGTTTGTGTTTGTACTGTAACATGACACACACACACACACACACACACACACACACACACACACACACACACACACACACACACACATTCGCTTGTCTGAAATAAAGTTTCAATCCTGTAAAACTTTAATAAAAACTTGAACAAATGTCTGAAACTAAACCAAAGTTCTGACGAAGTTTTAAATCGAGACTGAAAATGTCTCTTCATCCTCAGTTAACCACGCCCAATTCCTCAGCCACGCCCCCAAACACCGACTCTCACTTGCAGCATCAGCATCACTCACCCTAGCGTTGTCATGGTGACGATGGTGTACCAGAAGGCTGCAGGGATGCTCGTGAACTTGCTGCCGCTGGATCCTTTCTCTGCGTAGAACATGACGGTGGCGAAGATGATGATGGCCATGGTGAGGGAGAAGAGCAGGAAGCCGAGCTCTGACGCGCAGCTCTTCAGCGTGTAGCCCAGGATGCGAAGTCCCGCAGAGTGTCGCGAGAACTTAAAGATCCGAAACACCCGGAAGACGCGCAGCGTGACGAAGGCGCCGCTCACGTCCTCGTTGTCCGTCATGACGAGGCCGATGTAGTACGGCATGATGGCCACCACGTCGATGACGCTCATCACGCTCTTTACAAACTTGTAGCGGCTCGGCGCCGCCAGGAGGCGCAGCAGGTACTCCACCGTGAAGATCATGACGCACGCGGTGTCCAGGCAGAAGAACGCGAGCGCGTACCGCTCACCGCACGACTCCTGCTTGAAGCGGTTCGGTGCCGCGCCGCACGGAACCGTCTCCGCCACGTTGGCCATCACCGACACCGCGATGAAGAAGCCGGTGACGTAGTAGAGGACCAGCGCAATGGTGGAGGTGTGCGGGTTCTCGAATGCGCGCCAAATGGTCTCTCTGAAGCTCAGGTCCGCGGGCACGAGCTCGTGGCTCTGCTCCATCTCCTCGTCGTCCTGGATCCGCTCCTGGTTCTCCCGCCGCCGGTCCTTGTACTCCTCGTAGCAGCAGTCACCGATGATCTCCGGGATGATGCCGAAGAACGCCAGCTCCTCGTCGTACGCGGAGATGCACTCCTGCCGCGGGAAGTGCAGCTTCCCGGTGCGGTAGAAGTTGAGGATGTGGCGGAAAATGTCCGGGTCCCGGTCGAAGAAGAACTCGTTGCTCTCCTCGTGGAAGAAGAAGTCTCTCTCGGTGGAGCCCAGCAGTGTGTCGGGGTACCGCTCCAGCGTGTCCCGCCACGTCTGGAACTTTGTTCCGCTCAAGTTCAAGACGATGAGTCCGTCCCGTCCGCGCCGCTTCTCCTGCGGCGGCACCGGCATCGGTGCGCTCGCCACCGGCATCCAGCCGATGGCCGCCGCGCGAGCGAAAGGCAGCCACGCTGCGACTCCCGCTGCCATGCTGCGGCTGGAGGTCTGCGGAGGTCCCGGGGGTCAGAGAGCACCGGAGCACCGGCAGCACATCCAGGGGGAGAGGAGACGCAGAACCGGAAAACAGATGGAGCTAAAGCACGAGTTCTTCCGGGAGAAAATCAACTTTACGCACGAAATCGATGCGTAAAACCAGAGAAGAGGTTCAAGAATCAGCGTAAAACAAACAGATCCACATGTGGTGAGAGTCCGGATTCTCAATCACTTCAGGTCCGGGTCTCAGGTAGAATCCGGATCCTGCAGCAACAAGTTCCTGATAATCCGGATCCGCACCGGGTCACGGAGCTGCCACAGACCCGCTGCAGGCACGCTGTCCCCGGCTCTGCCCCCCGAAGTATCCCGGTGTCCGCTGCAACTCGCGGGTTCTCTCCGCCGATGCTCCGGTTCCGCTACCGAACCGATCCGGTCTGAACCGAACCGAACTGAACCTCAGCAGGAGAAGATGTTCAGCTGGAAACACGAGGAGACTGAGGAGGTGTGATCACACTCAGGTGCTGCTGGAGAGAGAGAGGGAGGGAGGGTGAGAGAGGGGGGGGAGAAAGAGAAGAGGGAGGGAAAGAGAGAGGGGGGAGGGAGGGAGGGAGGGAGGGAGAGAAAGAGAAGAGGGAGAAGACATGTTACCTCTGCACTCTCTCTCTCTGGAAAGGGGCGTGTCTGTTTATCTGTCCTTCACGTGTTTCTCTTTTGACCAGTTTATATAATGATGATAATATAATGATGATACTGGTGATAATCATAATAATAATGATAATAACAATAAATATGATGATGATCAGAATAATGATGATGATCAGAATAATGATGATGATCAGAATAATAATAACAATAATAATAATACATTTGAGTGCAGCTTTATGTTTATGGAGGTGTGGGGGGGGGCACAGGTAAAAGTCCTTTGACCTCTGAACAACCTTGTTCAGTTCCAGTGACTGAGATCAGTCTGTTTGACCTTTGACCCACGAGTTACCGCCTCCCTCATTATCAGCCAATTAGAGACGGAGAGGGAGGGCCTGAGCTGTCAATCATTAGTATTGACTAACCTGTTCATATAAATTCACTTCCTCTCATCTGAGGTGAATCTTCATCAAACTGAGAACTTTAACTTTTATCAATCTTTCACAACCAATCAGAGCAGAGAACCTTTTACTCTGAAGCTTTGGAAACCAGACGTCAGGTGATTGATGTGAAGGTCACAGAGACGTTCACGTCCAAATCTGCCTCCGGCTCTGATTGGCTTAACGTTCGGAGCTCGGCAGGCGGCGGCTCAGAGGCCGGAGGTCTCTTCCGTTTATCGGAGATCAAAGGGATTCGAACACTTCAGTAAATGAAAAAAACTGAGCGAAGCCTCAGGACAAATCTGGACAAGGCTTTGATCTTCACATCATCTGACCTTGGTCATGTTAAGTAAAGTAAAGTTAAGTAAAGTTAAGATAAGAAAAGTTAAGATTAGAAGAGATAAGTTAAGATAAGGCTTCTCCTGGAGAGAGAGCTCTCTGTGTTGGAGGAAGAGAAAAAGACTCAGATTGAGCGAGAGCTGCTGCAACCGGCAGCCACTGAGGGGGCGCTATATTACAGTCTTCACATCTGTTTGTTCACGTCCTCAGAGAAGGACCACCTTAGGTTTTTTTCCCACAAGGCCGTGGGACACATCTCGACACATCTAGCATTTTTTTTTCCCAACAGACTGCTGCTGACAGAGAAAAACCTTCAGAATAAAAGCAGCAGCTTCAGTCGAGTCAATTTTCAAAAACAGAAAAGGTGTGACGTGAGCCCCTCCCCCTCATCCCCCACCCTCCCATCAGCCCCCGAGGCCTGCGGCAGCTCGAGCTGCAGAGCTGCTGCTTTGACCTCGGAGAGAAACTCACAGAGTCCTGACACTTATTAATCTGTTTACTTCTTCACACCAACACAGACGGAGCTCACGATTGGTCCGTTCACTTTTTACTCTCCTCCCCTTCGCACGCGTCAGCCACAGGACGCCGTCAGTCTGATTCAGGGAAACTATTTAGATACTAAACGTTTTGTCACGAATCAAAAACAAACAGCACAGAAATATCAAATAATCAGATAATACAATTATTAAATAATACAATTCTACAGGTGAAGTTAGAAAAAGAAATACAGTCGTCACCAAGACGAGGAAACAAACCATCTTCTGCCAGTAGAGGTCGCTGTGTTCAGAAACTAAAACGCTCTCAGTTTTAATCCTCGTCATCACATGATCTGAAAACAGCTGATATTAAAACACAAAGATGACAGCGTCATGTTGTGTTCTACAGGAGTCATGTGACCTGGGCCCGACCAATCAGAGAGACTGAAAAATATTTTTCAAAATAAAATGAGACCAGCAGCGTTTACAAACTCCTGTGTTGGACACCAGACGTATCCATAGCAACAGTGATGTGTTTTAACAGTAGGAACGTCACATGACAGTTGATCAGTTTCTTCACGTGTTGTCAGAGATGATGATGACATCAGGCAGCCGTCATCTGTCAGGAGATTTCTTAAATCTGTCTGAGAGGAAGAGGAGGAAGATGAAGGAGAAATGACAAGATGGAGGCGTCGCCGTGGTTACTGTCAGCTTACTGTTAAACAGCTGGAATGAAGTTAAGTTGATGAAGACAATGATTCACTGAAACATGATGAAGTCTGATCATAGTCAAGATGTGTCCCAGGCTCCGCCCCTCTGGTCTCAGGATTTAAAGCTACATTTAAACTCGTCTCAACCTTCAGGTTCTCTCACGTGTTTTAATTCAACTCATGATTAGGACACAGTGAAGGTGGATGGACACAGTGAAGGTGGATGGACACAGTGAAGGTGGATGGACACAGTGAAGGTGGATGGACACTCTGAAGGTGGATGGACACAGTGAAGGTGGATGGACACTCTGAGGGCAGAAGGACACTTTGGAGGTGGACTCATGTCCACAGCGTCCTCAGATACCATCAGTCCTTCAGGCCTCTTCATGTCTTTGATCGGCAGTAGCAAAAGCCCAACTGCTTTGTCTTTCGTGAAGGATGTGTCCTCTGTCCAGAGGACACCCGTCCCCTCAGGAGGATTCTGTGCAATAGAGCTGGCGATGCGTTCAGGTGCTTCTCATCTTCATCCGTCCTGAAACTAAACCAACATTTATACAAAATTAATTTATGAATAGTTCAAAAATAATTAGAGTGAAACATTAAATCATTTGTTTGTTTCTAAACAAAAACAAACGTTTGAGTCTTTAGACATTATACAAGTTAATCTACTTACTTTACATCTACTAACTTTATATCTACTAACTTTACATCTACTTACTTCACATCTACTTACTTTACATCTACTTACTTTACATCTA